CAGCAGCAGCAGCAGCAGCAGCAGCAGCAGCAGCAGCAGCAGCAGCAGCAGCAGCAGCAGGCCACCAGCCACTCCACTTCAGCCATTTAATTACTTTATTTTAATTGATTCATTTATGTATTTAATATAATTAAATTAATTAAATTAATTAAATTTAATTAATTAAATTAATTAAATTAATTAAAGTTAAATTTGCTGCTGCTGCTGCTGCTGCTGCTACCCATTTGCCCGCAGCAATTGCGAGGGATTCTGGGGAAAGGACATTTCCTTCTCTAACAATTCTTTTTAAGACAAGTTCAATTTGCTTCTCCTGCTGCTTGTTTTGCTGCTGCTGCTGCTGCTGCTGCTGCTTGCGGCTGGAGGCGTCTGCAGCAGCAGGCGCTGCTGCTGCTGCTGCTGCTGCTGCTGCCACCGACGGAGAAAACAAAACCCGCAAAGCAATTCGCCCGTCTACTGCTGCTTCCCACTGCTGCTGCTGCAGCAGCCGCACAGGTGCTGCTGTCAGCTGGCAGCAAACGCGAGTCCGCCCCAAAGATACTTCCGTCTGCAGCAGCAGCAGCAGCAGCAGCAGCAGCAGCAGCAGCAAATGCAGCAGCGGCAGCAGCGAAAGCACCCGCTGTGGGCAGCAGCAGCGATCAGGGAGGCAAATCAGGCAAGATCCGGAGAAGTGCGGGAAGCAGCAGCAGCAGCAGCAGCAGCAGCACCCGCAGCAGCAGCACCAACACCAACAGCAGCAGCAAGCTAGCAACAAAGGCAGCAGTTGAGCCAGCAGCAGCAGCAGCTGCTGCTGCTGCTGCGCCAAGCGCGCAGAAAATATTCCAGCAGGCAGCAGAGGAAGTCCTCAGGAGCAAACAGCAGCAGCAGCAGCAGCAGCAGGTGCAGCAGCAGAAGCAGCAGCGGCAGAAACAGCAGCAAGGCGGCCGCAGCCGCTGTAGCGACAGCAGCAGCACCCCCCTCCAGCCATCTCCCCCTGCAGCAGCAGGAGCAGCAGCAGCAGGAGCAGCAGCAGGAGCAGCAGCAGAAGCAGCAGCAGCAGGAGCATCAGCAGCAGGAGCAGCAGCAGCAGGAGCAGCACCAGCAGCAGAAGCAGCAGGAGAAGCAGCAGCACAAGCAGCAGCAGCACAAGCAGCAGCAGCAGCAGCAGCAGTAGCAGAAGCAGCAGCAGCAGCAGCAGCAGCAGCAGCAGCAGCAGCAGGCCCACGCTGCCAATGGCTTCATTGAAAACAATTCGAAGTTTTCTTTTCTCCTTTTGCTGCCGCCCGTCGCCTCTGGCGCCGCCGCAGCAAAGACTGGCCCAAGCAGCAGCGCCGTTGGCTGCACACAGAGGCAGCATTCTACACGCTGCTGCTGCTGCTGCTGCTGCTGCTGCTGCTGCTGCTGCTGCTGCTGCTGCTGCTGCTGCTGCTGCTGCTGGTGCTGGTGAGGGGGGTGGGGGAATATCGTGGGAAGGAGCGGCGGTGATGGCGGTGCTGGTAAGCGTTGTGCTGCTGCTGCTGCTGCTGCTGCTGTTGCTGCTGCTGCTGCTGCTGCTGTTGAGGCTCGAGAGGGGTCTGCTGCCTTCGCTGCTGCTGCTGCTGCTGCTGTTTCTGTTGCTGCTGAAGATGTTGAAGCTGTTGCTGAAAAATTGCCCTTGTTTGTAATATTTCACCCAGAAGACCCCTGCTGCTGCCGTTGCTGCTGCTGCTGCTGCTGCTGCTGCTGCTGCAAGGTTGTGGGAAGGGTGAGTGGGCGGCGCTGCTGCGGAACAGTTTTTGTAATTTTATTCACTAAAAGTATTTATTTTTTATTTTAATTTAATTTAATTACAAAAAGGAAACTCTGCAGCATTCAGCAGCAGCAGCAGGGGCCCTGGGGGCCCCTCCTGCTGCTGCTGAATGCCCTGGGGCCCCTCGATTCAGATAACTCCAAACCCCAAGCCCTAAACCCTAAACCCTAATTTTTAAGCCCTAAACCCTAAACCCTAAACCCTTCAAAATCTTTGATGTGCATGCACCGAATTAGTCAAAAGTCTGTAGTCAAAGTGCCCTTAGCTGCTGTTGCAGCTGCTGCTGCTGCTGCTGCAGCTGCTGCTGCTTCGACTGCAGCTGCTGCAAACACCTGCTGCTGCAGCTGCTGCTCCAGCTGCTGCTGCCAAGAAATGGCAGAAGCAGCCACTGCTGGCGAAACACTTCTGTCGCTGCTGCTGTTGCTGCTGCTGTTGCTGCTGCTGTTGCTGCTGCTGTCGCTGCTGCTGTTGCTGCTGCTGTTGCTGCTGCTGTCGCTGCTGCTGCAGCTAGTCTCTATGCCTGCGGGGTGACAGGGGCCTCGAAGGTTCTGGGACCAGCTGCAGCGACTGCAGCAGCAGCAGCAGCAGCAGCAGCAGCAACAACAACATGTGAACAACTACTAGCTGGAGCAGCAGCCACAGCAACTGCAGCAGCAGCTGCTGCAAAAGAGAGAGCACTAGCAACAGCAGCAGCAACAGTAGCAGCAGCAGCAGCAGCAAAGGGAACCATTACCT